TGTAAAGGGAATAATTCTATACACCGGCGAGGCAGTAAAACGGGAAGCTCGCGAAATTTGAGTACGAGCCCTTCAGGCATCGATCGGGGATAACGACTTGCGCACTCGGATGCGCGAAAAGCATAATGATTAGTCTCCGGTAATATTTTATTACTGAATATGATGATTAATAAACACACTTTTTTTTCCTCCAAGAAGATACAACGTTTCTTTTAACGTCTATATTAAACCTTTCTAGAAAGGAGAGTTGAAGATATTTATAAAAATTATATATAATTATAGAAAAATAACTTAACCCTCCGTCAGCAACATGAATTTTAACTCTTTCGTTAGAAATAGAAGTCTTAGAAAAACAGAGCAAATTTTTTATTGTTCTGGATTATATAAAAATTTTTAAAAATTTTGATACACTTATCAAAACTTCAATAATAAATTTTTACCATGATAGAAGTAGAATTGTATAGTATTTTATTTATTTTTTACAGATGTATGCACTAAAATTCACAATCAAAATATTGATGATGCCTTTAAAGATCTCAGCTGTTCATGGAAGTTTAAAAAAAAAAACAGCATGTTCTGAAATTATTTAGACAACGTTTAACTTTAAGAAAGAAAAAAAAATTGCATTGCGTTATAACGTTGCGTATCTCTTATATGAGGGCCGGATAATCATTGTAATCAAAACGCACGCGGATCTTTCGAAATCGATGAAGTCATCAATTCGCAAAAGTATTCAAAGTGTTATATTCCGGCGCGTCAGTCTAACGAGGAGGCTCGTCCGCTCGTTTCGCCGCTTGCGTGCCACGAGAAAATTCAAACATAGCTTCGGAGTCCGCCCGTCAGAGCATCTTATACTACGGGAGAAAGAAAAAAGGACGAGCCACGTATGGCTCATACGCGGGAATCGCGCAAGGTCGAAATATCCCGCGCACATCCTGCCTTTTTCCACGCGGTTCGCGGTAGAACCGCAGGAATCCCACGAAGAAATCTGAAACAACGATGGACGGAGACTGAGCGTGATACGAGAACAAGGGAAAG